ATTATATTAACAAAATAGGATGAATGCAGCTCTTTTATCAGTTCTACTGGTAGTCTCGACAGCCTACTTACAAATAGAAAATAAGTAATATATTCTGTTGCTAAAGAAAACTACCAAAACATCAGGTATATTGGATGTGCTCACCCTCTTTTATGTAAACTGATAAAGGACTGGAAGAATGATTCTTCTAAAATGATGTGAGTAGACCTTTTAGAAAGTAAGACTATGTGAAATTGAATGGAAACTTACGGCTACTCATAGCGTTGTGAGAACATTTATCTACTATTACTTAATCACATTTCATACAATATTGCTCCGTCGATAATCCCTATTTAGCACAAATATATGAAAGTGTAGAGGCCAGTCTGTGTTGAAGTTAACTTCTTGCGACTCTACACCGCACCACCAAAACTCTGGTTCGAGTGCCTATTCATCCGATAAATAGATAGACTGGAAACCTAATTTATACTTTTGCAAGTAGTATAGTCGGATTTAGTAGAAAAAAACCGATATTCGTGACTCAACTCTCTGTTTCGATAGGCCTCGGACGCACCGGAAACCGAAGCAGGACGGCCGGTCAAGTGAGGCCTGTTGGATTGTGTGTCTTTGCCTCTACCGCTCTGACAGACTTGTTCACAGCGAATGATCGTCGACTCGCGGCGGCACAACCGGCAGTGTCGAGCTAAATGGCGCATTTAATTTGCCAACTTATTGATCGGTAGAGCATTCAAACGGCCCACTTTGTGTCGGCCATTTTGTGTCTCGACAATGAGAGGCTAATTGAACCAGAGCCCTGGGCTCACTGCCGTTCCAACTGCCAACGGATTGCCTCGGCTCGGCCAGCCGTCGAGAGGCCGACAGACGCACGAGTGTGTAAAGTATGACGGCGAAAAATGATCGAAAAAGTTTAGAGGCACTTGGCCCGCTGTACAGAAGCACGAAATCGAACAATTTCAGTCTCGTCCTGCTGCAGGCCAAGTATGAATCGCTGATCATGGACTCGATCGACGAGTTGTCGTCCATCTCGCTTATCTGCGATAAACTGAAAGCCTGCCAGAAACTCTTCGCCCTCGAGACGACCGCCGAGAAGGTGAATCTGGGCGTCGAGGAGACCCAACTGATCGCCGATTTGTGCGTTTACGTGAACCAGGTGCAGTGTGAGCGAGTTCGAATGCTGTTGCAGTTGGATCGGCTGAACGAGGAGAACGATTGGTTGAGAGAAGAGTACCGAGAGTTGGAGGGCATTCTGCGCAAACTGGCCGAGTTCAACCGAGAGGCGGACAACGACCGGCAAAACTACAAATTCCTGATGAGCATCCGAAAGAGCGACGAGATGGACATCGACGTCCGGTCGACGGTGATGACGAAACCGGTCGAGTTCGACTCTAGTTTCGCCGAGATGTTGCCCGAAAAGATGCGCGCCATCTACCAATTGTGCGTCGGCTACATGAATCAGGGCCGACATGAGGTGGTCACGTCGTTGTGCACCGGGTTGGCGACCGGCAATAAGGACAAAGAGTTGACGACCTACGATCGGGGCCTGCTCAACTTTTTGCAGGGCGTCAATCTGGTGCGATTGCATCGGGAAAAGGACGCTCTCGAGTTCCTCAACGAAGCGATCCACACGTTCGAGGGCAAATACGGCCGGGAGCATGCGATGCTGGCCAATGTTCTGCGCGAGATGGGTCACGCTCTGATGGGCACCAAAGCGCCGGGCAAGGCGGAACAGTTCTTCCGTCGAGCACTCGAGATCAAAATATTCACCTACGGCCACTTGAACGAGGAGACGGCTCGGGCGAAAATCGAGCTGGCCGAAGCGCTGTTGGTACAGAACAAGTCGGAAGAGGCGCAAAATCTGGCCAAATCGGCTCTGACGGTGGAGTTTGTGCCGCTCGATCTGATCGTGGCACAGGCCAAGCAGTGCATGGCCGCGGCCTCGTTGCAGCTCAACAAACTCGACGATGCTTTCATCCTCATTGACGAGGTCTTTCAGGAGTACTTTCGTCGAATCGACGTTGAGCCGATCACGCAAATGCTGGCGGACGAGGCTCGTCTGCAGGCTCTCACCGTGTCGCAGTTGATCGCCGCCTTCCTACCGCTCAAGAGCACCACCGAGATCGAGTGTCTGCGGACGCTCAGTCTCATCTACGAGGCCAAAGGTAACCAGACGGCCTGCGAGTTGGTGAAGGGACTGATAAAGACGGAGTGAGTAGGTGATCTCTGATTGGCCGCTTCAGTCGTCACCCTCGAAGTAACCTCGTCCGTCGAGCGGTACAGAACGACTTGTTCTGCTCTTCGTGTGTCTCTTCTTGCCTGTCGATTGGCTCATCCGACTCGACTGTGCTCGAAAAGCATCCAAGTC